ACTCTGTCTCTCTCTGTCATAGTCTGAGAAGTCAGGTGGCGAGAGGGTGAGAAGAGATGGTGGACTTAGAAGAGGAAGAAGAAGAACTCTCTCTCTCTCTCTGTCCAGTACTAACCTGTGAAGTTGGCGCCTTGATGCAGGTACCTCGAAGATGGAGCTGGAGCGATGGCACCACAGGTAAGTACCACTGGCCTCCGCCAGTATATCTCCCACTCTACGATCTACCACCTACCAGCGCCCAACGCTGAAGACTACTGCTATGGCTATGGGCGCCCAACGCCGAAAACTACAGCTAACGCTGAAGACTACTGCCTAGCGCTGAAGACTACTGCAGCGCTCCTCCTCAGTGCTGCGGCCGAATCCTGAAGACTACTCGTGCCTACTGACAACTACCTACCCGTGTAGTGCATGGGAACTTCCTATGTACTACCGCGTGTGCCTCCTGACTCGTGCGAGCAGTCCAGGAGGCTGCTCTTGCCAATGCCGAAGGAAGGCAGGGGCAGCAGCTGCTGCTCCTGCTCAAGCTCGTGAGGAACAGGCTATTTCTGTCCTGTTCCGAAACCCTGTATTCGTGCCTGAGTCTTAGGGGTGGTCGAAACAATGAGGGGCTGAAAAAGGCCCTCCGTAGGCTGGAAAAACTCTGGGCAGAAATAGGCTGAAACGGAGTAGGGCCTGCAGACCCTCGTATTTCAGCTTTCAGGCTGAACGACGGGGGCCTGTAAGCCCTAAGTTTTAGGCTTTTAGGCTGAAAGTGCAGGACGGGCCCTGCAGGGCCCATGTGGCTACGCAATATGCCACACCCCCCCCTCCTTGAAAGACCGAGCTTACCTGCGAGGGCGAAGCTGTCTGTCTGAGGGAGGGACCACAGTCCGGGTGGGAGGGGCAGGTCGTGGAGGTCCCTTAGCTAACCTTTGTCGCTCGTAGTGACCGTAGATCACCGGTGCGGATGCTTTCAAATCTGCTCCTGAAATCCACTGAGTGTCCTCGGGATCGCATGCTCTGAATGTAACTTTGTACTGGCGCGGCTTGCTGCCGTACTTGCGATCCGTGATGACGCGGTCAACTTCCTGATGACCATCCATAGGAGGGTCCTGCGATTGTCGACCCGGGAAGTCGTCGCTCTTAGCTGGTGTATATGTTGCCAGCTTCGAGGCGTGAAAGATTGGATGGACCGTCAGATGCTCGGGAATGTTGATCACAAATGAAGGGCCATCGGGCTCATCGCCCACGGCTGCTGTCACAGACCAAGGTCCAAACCACTTGGGAAGCAGTTTGCGTGAAACATCCTGTTCCAGTGCAAACTCTTCCGCGGAGACCCAAACCAGATCACCGGCGCGGATGGGACATGGTATGCGACGCCTGTTGAATTGCTGCTGCATGCGGACTTGAGCCTTTTGCATGTTCACGCGGGCTTGAGTCAGCAATTCCCTGTACTTCCGGACGAAAGTGGGAGAGCAGGCAACGTCAATGTCGGCTGGTCGAGGGAGGAGAAGGTCGGCTAAGATCCGGCCTTTCCGTCCACCGTGGTGCAACTCGAATGGAGTCACGCCGATCGCCGGATGCACCGAAGTGTTGTAGGCGAATTCGATRTCGGGGAGGCGGTSAACCCAATCTTTCTGGTCCGGACGGATGAGCGTACGAAGCATCATTTGAGCGGTTTGACGTGCCCGCTCCGTCTGCCCGTCTGTCTGTGGATGCAGAGCCGAACTTGGTTTCATCGTTGTGCGGGACTCCTGCATGAGCGCAGTCCAAAATGCTGAAATGAAACGAGTGTCGCGGTCGCTGACTATGTCTTCCGGTACACCGTGGCCGCAAATCCAACCAGTGTGCAAGAGGCGTGCCAGCTCGGGAGCCGTGGAGTAGTACTTGCAAGGGAGAAAACGCGCGTACTTACTCAATCGGTCCACAACCGTGAGGATGCAGTCGTGCCCGAGCCGGTCGCGGGGAAACGGACCGGTGACGTCCATGGCAATGGAGAGGTACTTCATCAACCAGTTTGAGTTCACACCGAAACATCTTCCCGGCCTCTCCAATCGCTCAGCAGATGCACTCTCGCGAGGACCCGGTCTTTGCGCTATGACACATCATGCCTTCGCATTCGACGAGGAGCTTCAGCGACAATTCATCCGGGCATATGAGTCTGATCCGGACTTCGCCACGCTGTATGCACAGCTATCTTCGGATCACCCGCCGGCCAGCCACTATCGCATTGTCGACGGGTACTTGCTCCTCCACTCGAGAGGCAAGGACTTACTATGTGTCCCACGCGACCGCCGTCTTCGGACTCGCCTCCTCGGTGAGTATCATGATTCACGACTCGCCGGCCATTTCGGAGTCAACCGCACTATTGCACGGCTTCGACAGCGATTCCGATGGCCCGACCTTATTACCGATGTCCCGATAGTGTTGCTCACCGTATCCTGCGTCTTGTAGTAGGTCAATGGATTGTTGTTCGTAACCCATGTGAACCTACGACGCCCAAGGAGGAAGTGTCGCCATCGCTTGAGAGCCATGACGAATGCGAGCATCTCCTTCTTCCTTGCATYATCAAGCGAGTTGATGGGAGGCACTTTGTGGCTGAAATACTCCACAGGGTGCCAATCGTCGTCGTCGTGTTGTTCCAAGACTGCCCCAATGCCATAGCCGGAAGCGTCCATAGTCACTCTCGTCGGCAGTGTGGGGTCATATATGCTAAGGACGGGTGCCATAAGCATAGCCGTCTTAAGTGCTTGGAATGACCGGCGTGCGTCGTTATC